TTTTTTTTTTTTTTTTTTTTTTGAGCAGGACCCGCAGCCTCCACCCCGCTCACGGCGCTGCTCCCACCTCCCCAAGCTCTCCACACCATTAATATTCATTTGCAGGATAAATTCCCAGCTCTGGCTTGGAAGCAAGCAGGCTGCCTGCAGTGGAATTATTTATTATGGAATTAAGCAGCTGTTTGTCAAAGGAAAAGGCTTTGGAGTGTTTTGTTCCCTGCTCCCAGCCCAGCCTCCCTCACCGAGGGCTCTGGGAACCAGCAAAGCTCTGCCTGCACACAAACCCCACCTGAACAGCCACAGAGTCCGGGAGAAATATCCCAAAATATCCAATAAAACCCCTCCCCACCGCTTCAAAAATCAGGGAATGGTTTTTATGCACATGGGGAATGCAGAGGGGCCGGGGCTGCCCCATCCCTAAAAAGTGTCCAAGGCCACCTGGATGGGGCTTGGAGCAACCTGGGAGAGTGGAAGGTGTCCCAGCCATCCAGTTAAGGATGATCCTTCATTTCCCTTCCAATCCCAACCATTCCACGATTCTGTGACTCACTGTCAGCCCAGCTCAGAGCTGCAGCCCTGGATCAATGAGGGGGCAGATGGAAACCAAAAAAAAAAAATAAAACAAAACAAAACAAAAACCCATAAATAAATGCTTTGCCTAATTCCACCCTCTAATAATCCCCCAATTACTCCCAAATTTCCAAAGGACCCAGATGGAGCTGGCTCCTTTCTAGAGCTCATCATAAATTGCCTTGAAAAGAATCCCAGCCCTGTCATTTATCCCATTTGATTCCCGAGGTCGGCCCCTGCCTGGGAAATCACGGATCATTCATCAGCTTCTAACAGCCCCCCCTGCCCTGGGAGAAGCGATTTTGGCACCCAAAGGTCCCTTGGCTCTTTTCCCTCTCCAGAGGAATGCCAGAAATGTCACCTCGAGCCGTTGGAATGAAGTTTGCTGGACACGGGGACACTGGGTGTCCTTCCCAACGGGGAAAAGTTCATCTTCATCAGTGGGGAAAGAGGGAATTCATTGGGAATTGCAGAGACTCAGCAGCACATGATCCCAACAGCCACGAAGAGGGCACCTCTGTGCCCTAGGATTGGGAAGAGGAGGAATCTCCAGCAGGAATTCCTGGCCAAAATGCACAAATATCTTTCTTTTTGTCAGGTTTTTTTTTTTTACTTTTTTCCTTAGGGACAGCTCCTGCCCTGCAGGTTCACACCCCTGGAGCTGAGCCAGGGGCTCCTCCCTGTGCATTCTGGGGGGCTGATCTGCCTTAAACCCGCAGTTTATCAGCAAAACCTCCAAAATCCCAGGCAAAAATTAATCACACATCAAAGCTTGATGAATTTCTGATAATTGAGCCAATTCAGAGCTGCAATTTAAAGCCCATGAAGGGGAAGAGAAAAGCCTGAGTTGATATAAAAACATCCAGGACTTGATATAAAATCATCCAAGGCTCACCCTGTGCTCCTGAGGGAGGATTTGCTGCTGCAGGGAAAGGATTCCCACAGGATTCCCAGGACTGAGGAGGAAATGATGGAATCCTGGAACGGTTTGGGTTGGAAGAGAATTTAAGGATCATCCCAATCCAACCCTGCCATGGGCAGGAACATCTCCCACCATCCCAGGCTGCTCCAAATCCTGTCCAACCTGGCCTGGGACATTTCCAGGGATTGGGACAGCCACAGCTTCACTCCAAACACGGGTGAGGGAAACAGAAAAGGTATAAAACTCTCAAAAGCTGTGAGAAAACAAATGTCAGGATGGAGAAATGCAGGAATGCTGAAGATGCAAGGAGAAGAAACAACAGGGCTGTGTAGAGACAGACCTCAGGAAAATGTGTTAAGTAAGAAACCAAAAATATATAAACTTAATATTGGAGCTTTATCCATTGTTTTAAGCTATTACAAACAAGCAGGATGTAGTTTAGCTTTATTAACTGGCCTGAGCAAACACTTGCCAGCTTTTAATATTCTGCTATTGGCTAGAAAGTTGTTAAAAGATTTTATAACAAAGAGAGCTCGGTGTGCTGGGCCAGCAGCTGAAGCTGTTCCCTCTCCCTTGCTGGGTTCTGTAAAATGAGAGTGGTGGGTGTGATATAAAAGAAAATAAAATATTATTTATAAAAATATAATAATTTACATTATAAATATGAATTATATTTATATAATATAATAAAAGCTTCGAGGCAGCTGCTCCAGCATTCTCATCCTGCTGTTTGTGCACACGGATATATGGAAATATGAAATAAGAGAAGAAATATCCCAAGAAGGCAGCACACAGGGACAGCAGCTGGTCCATTGTGGACACACACATTCCCAGAGCTGGGGAATTCCAGCTTGGGAATTCTCTCCAGGCCTGGATTTCTCCTGACTCTCAGCTCCATTCCCAGGCTGACAAGCTGACTGCAGCTTCAGTTAGGGAGGAGTCTCCCAGGGTGACAACACGGTGACAAACAGAGTGGAATTCATCACCAACATCAACACCTGGTGTCTTTCCCGTGGGACACATCCTGAGGTGCTGTCCCAAGGATGTTTTTCCCAATTGTCCAAGAAACCAATTCTCTGGGAATTTTAATCCCTGGGAATTCCAACACAGAGAGATTTAACACGTGAAGTCCGTGTGCAAAAGGGAACAAAGATCATCTCCAAGATCCCTTCCAGCCCAAACCATTCCAGGATCCCATGGCTCCAGATCACCCCTATCTGGTTTAATCCCAAACATTTTATTCCTCCTCACCCTGAGGAGCAATCCCAGGCTCCTGCCCTGCTCCCCAATTCAGACACTTGGTTTATCTCCATGCCAGAAATTCCTCCTGCCTTATTCCCACTGTTGTCCCGGAGCATTCCTGACATTCCAGCAGAGCCGTGACACCAAAGGTATTTCCCTTATCAGCCAGGCCTCTTCCAGGGACACTTTTTAATCCCTCACACCTCAGATTTCCCTGGCACCCTCAGCAGCTCATCCTGCTGTTTGCCAGGACCATCCTTAGCCCAAATCCTGGCACGTTTCCAAAATCCCATGGAAGCAGCACAGGGAAACAAATCCTGCTCCTGCTCCCACATCCAGGGGTGCAATGGGCTGCTGGCAGGTGAGGTTCCAAAAAACAAAAAAAAAGAGGGAAAAATGAAAGTTTGGCAGCCTCCGACCTGGAGCAGGATTTCAGGATTTTCCATCCTCTGGGAACAGCAGAGGCAGGAGCAGTTATCTGGATCAAACATCCCATGCAATAACTCACATTCCACACAGTAATTCATCCTGGCTGGGAATCTGCCCTGCTATTCTTATCCTCTCCTGATTTTTTTTTTTTTTTTTAATCCCAACCCCAGGCTCTGCTCTGCTCCTCTTCCCTGTGGCTGGAATGCGTCAGGGCCCCTTCCTTGGAGCAGGTGCCTTGCCCAGAGCCATCTGCCACCTCCCCAGGTTTGCATCATTCCCCTCCCACCCGGCTGGGATTGACTCAGCAGGGCAGGATTTCCACTCCCTGCTCCACACAGCTCCTGCCAGCCAGCACCAGGAAGGGATGGGAAAAATGGGAGAAGGAATGGATTCCCTCCCCTTGGATGGGGACAGGGGTAAAATGGGCTTTGGATAAAAAAGGGATTGCCCAGCTATGCCCTGGAAAAATGCAGAGCCAGAGCTCCCATCAGCCTCAAGTATTCCCAGATTTTTCCTGACAGCACAGCCCTATGGGAATATTGCTGGGATTGGATGTGGGGGGAACCTGCAAACCTTTCTTAGGAAAAGGGATTTTTCAAATTTTTTTTAAATCCCAAACAAATCTGGGATACTCTTTGGGAATGTGACTGCTTTCCCAAAGTTCCCACCCTGGCTAAGAACTGTGGGATTTCAGGGATCTGTTCCCCACACATGGAATGCATTCATCCCTCACTGCTGTGACTGCAGTGGGAATTCTGGAATGGTTGGGGTTGGAAAGGGCATTAAATCCCATCCCAATCCCATCCCAATCCATCCAGGGACACCTCCCACCATCCCAATCTGTCCCAGTCCATCCCAGGGACGCCTCCCACTGTCCCAACCTGGCCTTGGACACTTGACAAGGAAAACAAATCCCAGCCAGGAGCGTTTCTGTCAGGGATTCATGGATAAATCCCAGAATTATTTGGGCTGGAAAGGGCATTAAATCCCATCCCAATCCCATCCCAATCCACACAGGGACACCTCCCACCATCCCAGGCTGCTCCCAGCCCTGTCCAGCCTGGCCTGGGACATTTCCAGGGATCCAGGACAGCCACAGCTTCCCTGGAAATCTGTGCCAGGGAAAAAAACTCCTTCAGGGAAAGTGCAGCCCTGGCACTCCCCGTCCCTGCAGGAATTCCAAAGCCCTGTGGATGTGGGGACCTGGGGTGGCCTGGGCAGTCTGGGAATGGCTGGGCTCTGTGGTCTCAGAGCGATTTTCCTAAAAAAAAACCAAAAATAAAGATCTGGTTCTTCTTTTCATGGAGTTGGTGCAGCTGGGAATGAGGGGATTCGTTTGTAGCTCGATGTTGGGAATGGTGGGGAAGAGCCACGGGGAGAAAGGAATTTTCTGTTAAATCCCAGGAGATTGGTGCAGGTCAGAGCAACACCTGAGGAAAGTCTGGGGACCAGTGAGAAAAGGAGAAAAAAAAAAAAACCAACCCAAGAAGATATTGGCAATAATTCCTGCTCTCCAAACGAGAACATTTCCATTGTGAGGCTGAGCCCGGCCCTCCCTCCCCTCTCACAGCTCCTCCAAACACCCACCCGGCCATATGGGCTCTGCACCGAAATAGAGCTTCCCTAAAAACACCCCGAGGCACCCGGACACGCCTCCCTGGATGGAAAATCCAGCTCTCCTCACATGGAAAGGGACGATTCACCGGGGTGGAGGGCAGGGCCACACAGGCAGAGCATTCCAGGATCTGGGAATGATCCCTGGGTGCTGCCAGAGGGAGACCAGCCCCATTCCAGCATCCCTGCACGGGAAAAGGATGGCTGGGAGGTTGTTTAAATCGAGCAGAAAGCCAGCAGCCACTTTCTGAGCCGAAAATCATCTGTACCAGCACCAGAGAGGGATCATCACCTCTGATTGCCCTGGGAAGGTGTGGAATCCCCATCCCTGGAAGTGTCCAGGATGGGGTTTGGAGCAGCCTGGGATAGGGGAAGGTGTGGAATCCCCATCCCTGGAAGTGTCCAGGATGGGGTTTGGAGCAGCCTGGGATAGGGGAAGGTGTCCCTGCCCGTGGGATGGATCTGGATGAGCTTTTGGGGTCCCTTTCCACCCAAACCACGGCATTCCATGATTTCGTGGAAGGCAGCACGGAGCCGTGTTTGGGAATAACCTGTCAGGGTTTAGTGCTGCTGGTTTAACACGGGGATCGATCTGTTGGGTGCCTTTCAAACATTAAACATCGAACATTCCGAGGCCATCGATTCACGCCCAGAACTGCTCTGCCATTCCTGCTCCTCACCCGCAGCTCAGCCGGGACAAGGGATTCAAGGAGAGACCCCCCCAGATCAATCCTGGGAGAGGGAAAACAGCTGGAGCTGTGCCAGAGGGGGCTGGGATGGAGATCAGGGAAAGGTGCTGGGCCCTGAATTCCCCCAGGGAATGATGACATTCCCAGAGCTGCCAGGGATGCCCAGGCTGCGATTTTGGGGTGTCTGTGCAGAGCCAGGAGCTGCATCCACGATCCTGTGGGTCCCTCCCAGCTCTGACATCCCACAATTCTACACAAACCTCAATCAGCATCCCCTCACGGGATCCCAAATTTTAAAAATCCTGCAGAACACGGGCTGCACTCCCAAATTCCCGGGGCTGGATCCAGGGAGTGACCCCAGCCCCTGGCAGCCCTGCCAGTCCCACCCCTCCTGCTCCTCTGTGTCCCGGCAGCTTTTCCAGCTCCTCACCTGCACCCCTCTCTGCCTGGCACCGGGAACATCCCAGCTGCCATTCCCCGGAGCCTGGAGCAGCTCCTGCCACGGATTTCAGATCCGTGCACAGCTCCAAGGCCACATCCCTGGGACCAAACACAGAGTGTGGCACGCAGCCGGCGGGGGGGGCTGCCAGAGCCTCCCCGCCTGCCACCAGGAGAGCTCGGATTCCCGGGAAACACAACATCAGGGCTGGCAGCAGGGAGGGAACGCCTGTCAGGAGATATTTGGGGCTGCAAAAAGCCCTTCGGGAATTCACACGCTCCTTGCTGGGCCACAGATAACCAAATATATAAAAAATATATTT